AGGAGGGAGGAAAAGAGAGACTGGGGAAATGAATGATAAATGATGCTGTACCTTGACTGGACAGGTTGTGGCTCCACCTGTTGGTCAAATGCTCTATTCCTGGCCCAGGGTTTGAATCCTTGAATCTTTACAAGTTCGCTCCTGGTGGGAAGAGCTCTTAGGGTTTGGAAGCCTGAACTTTCCCTTGAAGTTCTTGGTCCAAGCTGGAACAGGACGAGAAAAGGGGTGGGAACTATTTAGTATGACAACTTCTCTCACTGAACTGTGTGTTCCCGTCAAAATTTTATTTCAAATTTGTGAGAGAACTAGGCTTCCAAGAAAGCCAGTTCAAAATGTATACCTGGTTGAGAGTCTTTACAGCAAGAAAGAATGACTCGATACTATTGGGAAACCAGGTCTAAGGAGGGAATGTCTGGTTAAAGGTTTTAGGCTTATTCCCAGAATTACAGTCAGCCATGTGGGTTAAAGACCACCCAGAAAGGACTCTCTTAGATGGGCTTCTCAGAAGCAGAGCCTGAGGCAGGGATTTGAGGCGTGTGGTTTATTAAGGGAGGGCTCTTCGGGAAACACCTGTAAGGGAGAGAGGCCAGGGACAACCAAGATGAGACCTCAGGTAAAGTCTAGCCTTGGGGATTCGAGCATAGATCACACCGCAGAATGATCCTGACCTAAGGCAACAGGGCAGGCCTTTGCACCCCTTTGGTGAGAAATTGGCTTCCAGGAATGGGGGTGGGGTGGAGAGCCCCAAGATTGTCAGGGTAAGGGGCTACCATTAGCCAAGGGCACAGGTGTCAGCCAATAGCCTGGACACTGTTGCACTGGCCCATGACAGGGATTTGGGCGGGTCCCCCTATAATGGTCTGTCATTCATGTCAAGCCAGATTCTGCTTCTGACAGTCTATCAGGAGATTACTCAACTCTAGCATCAAAAATGCCAGATAAGGCTTTTCTTCAGGCTGGAGACAATTGTCTTTCTCAGAAGCGTGTGCCTTATCCCTCCTCCTCCTTGTGTGTTCCTTGGACAGTGTCCGGGGAGGGGGCTCTAATTGCTCCCCCAGTTAGGCCACTCGCTCTTCTCCCATGGTGACTTTTGGTAAGGCTCTGCAGCACAAGTTTATAGAAATGGCTGTAGTTGATAAATACTAAGTGATCATTTTTTTTTCTTCCTACCTGCAATGTAGGATAATCTTTAGATGTATCTAGTGATGTGTGATGGGAGTGGAGGAATTCTATTCTTTGCATCTTTATTAGAATGGGTCTTATGGACTAGAGCATTTTTAAGTTCCTATGCTCTGGACCCTCCCAGACCTTACCCTATATATCTCTTCATCTGGCTGTTCCTCTGTATCCTTTAATAAACTGGTAATATTAAGTATTTCCCAGGAAGATAGATAACATTTTTATTGCATCTTTTAAGGAGTACAATTCAGAGGAGTTTACTATATGGTTTAGTGTATTCACAAAGATGTTAAATTTTCCTGTATATTTACTGTATTAGAAAAATCCAGTCTACCTCCTGTGTGTCTCCTTTACTTTCATACAGAACACTTCACTTCTGACACTTCTGGTCACCAGACATGGGGGTTTTCCCCATACTGAGCAGTTCTGTGACACCAGCTGAGTGTCCTGCAATTTAACTCAATTTAGTTCAATTCTGACGTTATCTACCTGGAGATAGTGTCCCATCCCACAGGTTAAGGGCTCGGTCCCACAAGACTCCTCCCACCTCACTTCAGATGCCAGTCGCAAGTCCAGGTTGTCACCTGTACTTCTGACTGATTGGCTACAAATCTGAGGTTCCCATGACACCCCCCTCAGGTTCGATTAATTTGTTAGAATGGCTCACAGAACTCAAGGAAATACTTAATATTACCAGTTTATTAAAGGATACAGAGGACCAGCCAGATGAAGAGATATATAGGGTAAGGTCTGGGAGGGTCCAGAGCATAGGAACTTCTCTCCCTGTGGAGTTGGAGTGTGTCACCCTCCAGGTACGTGGATGTGTTCACACACCTGGAAGCTCTCTGAACCCCATACTATTGAGATTTTATGGAGGCTTCCTCATGTAGGCAAGATCAATTATGAACTCGATTTCCAGCCCTTCTCCCTGCAACTGAGCAAAAAGGGGCCCATTCTGCCGGCTGCAATCCAGTGGCAATCAATTGCAAACGAGTCGGTGGTTGAGAAAGGAAAGTTTATAAGATCAGCTAGCACAATCGGAAGATGGAGGGCTAGTGTCCTAAAGAGCCATCTTAAAGTCATACAGCACCTTGAGGCAGTTATATAGGGGAAATGGGCAGGGAAGGAGGGGGTTTTGGGATGTCCACCATCCAGTGTGACAAACTTCAAGGCACCTCATGATCTCTTTCTTCTGTCATTTGTGATGGGCACCAACATAGAGTTTTTGTCTCTGGAGGTCATCATGTTCTTGGGGAACTCAGAGAACAAAGTTATCCTTATCACAGCCGGGAGATATATAGAAGCAAGACTCATAGAAGTGGCAGATCATGTATTTTGCAAAAGTGAGAGGTGCTTAATCATCTAGGCTACGTGCAGGCTGGAGTGCATTCTCAGAGACTAGTGAGTCAGGATCACAGTCACAATATTAATTCATTTCCCTAAGATGGCTTCCCTCATGCTAACTTAAGATCTAGCTGTTACATCCCCTCTTTGGAGGATGGGGGTGGGGCTGAAAATTCTGAGCCCCTAATCACAGGTTGGTCTTTTTGATGACCAGCCCCATCCAGGAGCCCACCAAAGTCACCTCAATAGAACAAAAGACACTCCTATCATTCAGGAAATTCCAAGGGATTTATGAGCTCGGTGTCAGGAACCGGGAGCAGAGGCCAAATATTAGAACAAAAGATTCTCCTAGTGCTCTTATCACTTAGGAAATTACGAAGGTTTTAGGAGCCCTGTCCCAGGAATCAAGGGCAGAGACCAATATATATATTTTTTCTATCATCTCACATTTACCAATTTCTTTGCTTGTCATTCCGTCTCACATTTTGGACCTTGTTAGGATCATTTTCTTTCTTCCAGAAATACATTCTTTATTTTATTATTTTTTTGTGAGGAAGATTAGCCCTGAGCTAACATCTGTCGCCACTCCTCCTCTATTTTGCTGAGAAAGATTGGCGCTGGGCTAACATCCGTGCCCATCTTCCTCCACTTTATATCGGACTTCGCCACAGCATGGCTTGACAAGCGGATACGAACCCGGAGCCACTTTGGTGGAGCGTGCGCACTTAACTGCTACGCCACCTGGCTGGCCCCAAGAAATACATTCTTTAGAAGTTTCCATAGTGGGGCTGGCCTGGTGGCACAGCGGTTAAGTGCTCGTGCTCTGCTTCAGCGGCTAGGGGTTCACAGGTTCAGATCCCAGCCTCGCGCTGACTCACTGCTTGTCTGATCATTTTTACAGTCTCTTGTTTCCTCATTTCGGGAATTGCATTTTTTTATTCCTTTAAAGATTTCGTACATATATGCCTTATATTCTGTATCTGATTACTCCAATATCTAAGATCCTTGGGAGAGGGGGGACTTAGGTTTTTATTGGTCTTAATGTAAGGGAATCCTGGGGGCCTAAATGGAGGCGACGCCTTCCAGAAAGGATTTGTATTGGCTTGGCTGGCAGCCAGGGAGTTCTACAGCCTTTATTCTCCTTCCAGTGTCTCAGCTTAATGTGAAAGCATCAGGTTCAGCCCCCTCCCTCAGCTACTGGCCCAAGGCTCAGTCTTTCTGTAGACTGCAGTCCTGATACTGACATTTGCCCTCAAAACAAGTCTGTATGTCTTGAGGGCTGGATGCTTCCTATTCCCAGCTCTGGTTTCAGCTCAAATTTGAGGGAGGTGGGAGAGAAGTGTGGGTAGCATAGGAATGGAGATCTCATTTACTATGAGCCCAGCAATGCATTACGAAGACTTATATTATCCAGGATATAATTGCTTTGTTGTAGGAGGGCCCTATAAGGTAGCTAATCCACAGTCCTGCCCATAGAGGAAATCCTATACCTTCAAAATCCTTGCTTTTGTTTATTTTTAATTTTGAAGCAATTTCCTGTTTACAGAGAAGTTGCAAGAATAGTACAAGGAACTCTCATACTCACCTCATCTGGATTCTCCAATTGTTAATATCTTGCCACATTTCCTTTATCATTCTCTCTCATTCTTTTTCCTGAACCATTTTCCCTGAACAATTTTTAAGCTAAGTTGCAGACATAATACCTCTTCATTCCTAAATACTTCAGTCTGTATTTTCCATGAACAAGCGTATTCTCTTATATAACAAGAGTGCAATTATTTTAAAAATCAGATAATTATCATTCACATAATACTATTATCTAATCTACAGGCCTTATTCATATTTTGTCAATTGTCCCAATAGTCTTTGATAGCAAATAAAATAAAATAAAAATCTGGTCTAAGGTCCATTCCAAGATAACACATTGTATTTAGTTGTCATTGCTCTTAGTCTCTTTTAGTCTTGAACAGTTTCTCAGTCTGTCTTTGCTTTTCGTGACTTTAGCATTTTTTAAGATAATAGGTCAGTTACTTTATAGAATATTCCTCTATTTGGATTTTTTTGGAGTTTCCTTAGGATTAGATTGAAGTTACTATGCCTTTTCAGTAGGAATTCCACAAAAGCGATGTTGTGTCCTTCTCAGAAGCGCATGATATTGATTTGTTCCATTACTTGTGATATTAATTTTGATCACTTGGTAAAGGTAGTATTTACTAGGTTTCTCCACTGCAAAGTACTAGTTTTCCCTTTAATTGGTAAGCATTTTGTGGGAGAGAGTTTGAGACTATGTAGATATCTTATTCCTCATCAGACTTTCATCTATTAGTTTTAGCATCCGTTAATGATTCTTGCTTCAATCTGTAAATACAGATCTTCCTCAACTTACAATGGGGTTATGTCCCAATAAAGCCATCCTAAGTTGAAAATATCATAAGTTGAAAATGCATTTAATACACCAAACCAACCAAACACCACAGCTTAGCCTAGCCTACCTTAAACGTGCTCAGAACACTTACATTAGGCCACAATTGGGCAAAATCATTTAACATAAAACCTATTTTATAATAAAGTGCTGAATATCTTGTGTAATTCATTGAATACTGGACTGGTTGTGTGGGTACAGAACGGTTGTTAGGGTATCGATTGTTTACCCTCATGATCATGTGGCCGATGGGGAGCTGCGGCTTGCTGCCGCTGCCCAGCATCACGAGAGGATCATACCGCATATCACTAGTCCAGGAAAAGATCAAAATTCAAAGTGCGAAGTATGGTTTCTAGTGAATGCTACTTCTACTGAAGTCGAACCATTGTAAGTTGGGGACCATCTGTATGATGTTTTCGAATAGTGATTTTCTAACTTCATTCCATCTACAATTATTTGGTGGTGTTCTACTATGAGAAAAAGCATTTCTTCCTCTCCCATTACTTATTTATTTATATCAGTATGGACTCATGGATTCCTGTTATATTCAATGTGTTGAAATTCGTTACCATCATTAAATTGTCCTGTATTTAGCCAGTGGGAGCTCCTTCAAGCTGGCTTCTGTGTTCTTTTGATGTGTCCCCCATCCTTTAAGTGCTTCCTTACTTTCTGGGATAACAAGATATTTCAAATTCATCTTGTATGTTCCTTACTCGAGCCCTGGAATCAGCCATTTTTTCCAAAAAGCCCTGGTCTTTGGAAAAGCCCATAGTGGAAAATGGTATTTAGGAACCACGTAGTGCCAAGATCTGGGCACCACATGTGGTCATTGTTACTGGAGTGTCATTGCTTCTAGACCCTATCAGTCGACAGAGCTGGGAAATTTATGCATACGTGTGCACATACACACGCAAATACATATGCCCTTACAGGTAACTCTATCTATCCATCTGTCTGTCTATCCATCTAAAATCACAAGTTCATACCGATACCTCCAATCCCAGCCCAACACCATAAGCCTCATTGTTCATTATAGTCTTGCGCCTTTCCATATTTGTAACTTTCTTTTCTGATAATGAAAAAATTGGTTCCCATTATCCTTAATATGTTTACTTACTTGCTTAATCTTATGCTACACTGACAGTGGTTTCAGAATTACTCAGCCACAGCACACATGAAACAAACCTACCAAGTAGAATTCAATATTTGTTTGCAGTTCTTTTTGTCTTTATTCTGAGGATATTTAATTGAAATATAGTTTTTCCCCTTCTGTGTGGTTACGAATAACATTTTAATATGATTAGGTTCATTTGTTTCTTTTTGTATTCCATTTTAGCATTTTTCCCCATGCTTGTTGATTTTAATTTTTTTTGAGTATATAGGGAACAAAGGCAAAACTATGCAAAAAAGTATATTCACAGACGGTTGCTCCCTCCTCCCATCCTTTCCTACCCTCTTATCCCCTCCACCTTGTTGCTATTCACCCTCCTTAGGTAACCAATCTCACTAGTTTTTAGTATCTTTTGCTCGTGTTTTTTTCCCCCCCAAAATAAGCAGATACATTTTTTTCTTTTTTTTTTTTTTTTTTTGTGAGGAAGATCAGCCCTGAGCTAACATCCGATGCCAATCTTCCTCTTTTTGCTGAGGAAGATCAGCCCTGGGCTAACATCCATGTCCATCTTCCTTTACTTTATATGGGACGCCGCCACAGCATGGCTTGACAAGTGGTGCGTTGGTGCGTGCCCGGGATCCAAACCTGCAAACCTTCAGGCCGTCCAAGCGGAGCACACGAACTTAACCGCTATACCACTGGGCCAGCCCCAGCAGATACATTTTTATTTTCTTATTTCTTCTTCTTTCCTACATAAAAGGTATAAATACTATAAATACTCTTTTGTCTTAACTCTTTTTTTAACTTAACAATAGATCCAATAGATATATCTTCAGGGCAAATTCCTGGAGAAGGGATTTTTTGGTCAAGAGGTAAACACATCCGTAGTTTTGTTTGATATTGTCAAGTTCCCCTCCACCAGGGCTGGGCCTATTGGCATTCCCACTAGCTACTATAAAAGTTCCTGTCTCTCTACAGCCTTGCCAACAAATGGTTGTCAAGCTGCTTAATTTTTGTCAATCTGATAGGTGAAAAATGGTATCTCAGAGTAATTTCAATTTGTATTTCTCTTATTATTAGTCAAGTTGAACATTTTGTCACATTGTTAAAGGGCTTTTGTGTGTGTGTATGTATGAGGAAGATTGGCCCTGAGCTGCCAGTTCTCCCATTTTTGCTTCAGGAGGATTGTCCCTGAGCTAACATCTGTGCCCATCGTCCTCTATTTTGTATGTGGGATGCCTCCAACAGCATGGCTTGATGAGTTGTGTGTAGGTCCACGCCCAGGATCTGATCCCACAAACCCTGGGCCCCCAATGTGGAGTGCGCGAACTTAACCACTACACTACTGGGCTGGCCCTGGTTAAGGGCCAATTTGATATCTTTTTTGAGAGCGTTGCTTTTCATGTTTTGTGCTCATTGGGTTTTTGGTCTTATTTCCTTCCATTTTTATGAGTCCTTTATGTATATATTAGAGATATTAACCCTTTATCTATGATATATGTCGTAAATATTTTTTCCCAGTTTTTTATTTGTCTTTTGGTCTTATGGTGATTTTTTGCCATACCTAATTTTATTATTTCTATGTAGTCAAATTTATCAATCTTTTATTGCCTCTGGATTTTGAGTCATTTAGAAAACATTTTCCTACACCCTAGTCAAAGAGGTATTCACCCCTAATTCTTAGATCTCTTGTCATTTCATTTTTTATACTCAGATCTCTGAACCATCTGGAGTTTATTCTTGGATGTGGTGCAAGTTATAGATTCAGTTTAATCTCTTTCCAAATGGCTATCTGATTGTCTGAGCACCATTAGTCATAAAGTTGTTTGACCCAGTGACCCAGTGGTTTCTGTATGCACCTGGGTAGATTTCTGAACTTTCATTTCCACTCTGCTGGTCATCTGTCTATTCATGCAGTGGTACCACACTGTTTTAATAATAGAGACTTTATGGTATGTCTTAATTTTTGATAGAGCTAGACATCCCTCATAGCTTTTCTTTTTCAGGTTTTTCTAGCTATTACACGTTCATTCTTCACACGAATTTTAGTATCTATTTAGGATCTAGAAAAAATGTTTTGGTATTTTTATGGGGAATTGCATTATATTTATACATTTACTTGAGGAGAACTGACAAATTTATTACATTGAGTCATCCTTTCCAAGCACAAAAGATGACTCTCCATTTGTCCAAATCTACTTTTGTGCCTTTCAGGAAGATTTTAATTTTAATAAAGATTTTAATAATTAATTCCTCATACAGAGTTTGAACATTTCTTGTTAAATTTATTGCTAAATATTTTATTTGCTCTGTTGCTGTTGTAAGTGGGTTTTCTCTGCATTACTATATCCTCTCCCTGGCTATTTTTGATATTTATGAAGGCTATCCATCTCTGTATGTTAATTTTATACCCTGCTACCTGACTATATCAATAATACATAGTATATTCTTTCATATACTAGCATACCATCTGCACATAGATTCTTTTCTAATTCTTATGCCTCTAACTGATTTCTCTTTTCTAATTCTTTTGACTGATATCTCCAGAGTTAACCCAACAGTTTATCCCATTTTGGACCCAGATAAATGAGGCTCAGCCTTTATGTTTGGGTAGCCTGAGTTTAAAGTGGAGGAGGCGGATTTGGAAGTCCTCTACTGATAGTACATGATCCTAAACGGATGCGAAAATTCATATGACAGAATAAACATGGAAGAATAGCTAGGGGGCCGGCCTGGTGGTGCAGCGGTTAAGTGTGCACCTTTCGCTTTGGCAGCCCGGGGTTCGCTGGTTCGGATCCTGAGCACGGACTCACTTACCACTTGTCAAGCCATGGTGAGGTGGCATCCCAAGTAGAAGAACTAGAAGGACCTACAACTAGGATATACAACTATATACTGGGGGCTTTGGGGAGGAAAAAAAAAAAAAGAGGAAGATTGGCAACAGACGTTAGTTCAGGGCCAGTCTTCCTCAAAAAAAAAAAAAAGCTAGGAAAACCTGAAGAAGAAAAACTGGGCACCACGATGCCGCCACCTGCTGCCCGAAGCTGGTACTGCACCCTTTTTGAGCAAAGCAAATCCGGACCTGTTAATTAATTAATTGTTAATTAATTGGCTTTTGAACCCTGAGCATTAAGTCTAAAAGGAAACTTGCCCCCCCGCCTTTTTTTGCCTTCCATCCCCTCACCTAGGGCCTTTATTCTGTTCAGCATCTTCAGAGTTCAAATCCTGGAGATAGAGCTCAAAGGGATAAGGTGAACTGAAATGTCTTTGGCTTAGCCCAAATTCTCATCATGGGGTTTGAGGAAATGCAGCTTGATGCAAGGATAGAAGACTAAAAGGGGAAGAAAAACAAATTCCTTGTCACATCAGGCTTTTTACATACAGTAATTTTTAAAATTCTTGTGAAACGAATACCCTGAAAGTCATTTTACAGATTAGAAAACAGTGGCCTAAGGAGATGTTAAAGGATAATTTTTTTAAAGGGTAAAACTCTGACTCTCCTACAGATAGAAAAGGAACACGTGTCATAGATTTTATTTAGCTCATTAATTAACGAAGGAACTAGTAAGATGTAAAAACTGTTCAAAGGAGAACCCCAAGTACAGATACACATGTAGGCAGTCAGGAATGCTAAAATGAATGTGCTAATAGGTACAAAACTGGTCACTAGCCACAGGGGAACAATTACCTGCATCTTCATTGTACAACATTTATTTGCATCTCCATGGACAAGAATCATTGTTATTACTATCAGTTTTCTACAACCCAGAGAGTCGTCAAATAGCTCAAAGACAGAAAAAGGTGAAGACCCTTCTAGAAACAATAACCCCTGGAAGGCTTCAATCCAGAGTGAACTTAAGTAACGCCTTCAAGATTTCCCAGCCGCTAAGCAGAAGATCTGGAATTTAAACCCAAATCTATGTTTCCATAAGTTCCGGCTCTTTCCTCTGTGCCAAGTAGCTTTTGGACAGTGAGGGTGATTTTCCGGACAGTGAGGGTGATTTTCTGCAGAGGTGTGTGGTATTGACCATCA